GAGGCTGCGGTGGCTGGGAGCATGCCACTGCACTCCAGTCTGGGAGACAGAGTGAGACTCCAACTCAAAATATATATATATGCTTGATTTAAAGAATGACATGGAGGAAAAATTGTAGTTAAATTGTACTTAAACATTCCCATTTCTTTGTATTGTTTTTGTTTTTGTGTTGGAGTCTCACTGTTGCCCAGGCTGCATTGCAGTGGCACACTCAGACCACTGCAGCCTTGACCTGCTTGGCTCAAGAAAACCTTCTGCCTCAGCCTTCCAAGGTAACTGAGACTACAAGCTTGTGCCACCCCACCTGGCTAATTTTTTTTGAGTTGGAGTCTCACTCTGTCGCCCAGACTGGAGTTGCAGTGGCATGCTCCTGGCCACCGCAGCCTTGACCTGCTGGGCTCCGGCGATCCTTCCGCCTCAGCCTTCCAAGTAGCTGGAACTACAGGCACACCTGGCTAATTTTGGATTTATTGTAGAGATGAAGTCTTGCCAAGTTACCCAGGCTGGTCTTGAACCCCTGGGTTCAAGTAATCTTCTCACCACCTCCCAAAGTGCTGGGATTACAGTGCCATTGCGCCTGGCCTTAGGTTAGCAGTTTTTGTTTGTTTGTTTTTTGAGTCGGAGTCTCACTCTCGTCCAGGCTGGAGTGGAGTGGCACGCTCCCAACCACCACAGCCTCGACTTGCTGGGCTCCGGCGATCCTTCCGCCTCAGCCTTCCAAGTAGCTGGAACTACAGGCGTGCGCTACCACGCCTGGCTAGTTTTTTGATTTATTATAGAGACGAGGTCTCACCAAGTTGCCTGGGGGGTCTCGAACCCTCAGGCTCAGGCTCAGGCAGTCCTCTCGCATCAGCATCCCAAAGTGCTGGGATTACAGGCTGAGCCACTGAGCCCAGCCAGGTTAGCAGTTTTTAACCTGTGTTCCATAGAAGCCACGTGGTTGATGACTTTTCCAGTATCATCCTTTCTCTCCCCTCACCCCATAAGACCAGTCAGATAGGCTTTGAGTCAGCTCTTAACCTCTCTCTTTTCTCCTAGACATTCAAGCAGAACGCAAATGACTAAGTAATGTTATTGAAATAACAAAATAGGTTATAACTTTGTTCCTCATCAGTAAAAAATTACTTTCAATATGTCTTACGGGTCTCTTGGGTATAGATTAGTAGAGAAGTGGAAGACACGTTGGATCCTGCTTGTAATCCCAGTACTTTGGGATGCCAAGGCAGGAGGACAGCCTGAGCCCAGGAGTTCAAGACCAGCCTGGGCAATACAGAGAGACCTCCTCTCTATGATTAATCAAAAAAATTAGCCAAGTGTGGTGGTGTCACACCTGTAATGCCAGCACTTTGGGAGGTGGACATGAGAGGATTGCCTGAGCCCAGAGGTTTGAGACCAGCCTGGGCCACTTGGTGAGACCTTGTTTTTAAAGTAAATCAAAAAAATTAGCTGGGTATGGTGATACATGCCTGTAGTTCCAGCTACTTGGAAGACTGAGGTGGAGGGATCACTTGTTCTCAGCAGGTTGAGCCTGTGGTGGCCATTAGCATGCCACTGTGAGTGAGACCCCTGACTCAAAAGAACAGAAAAAAGTTGAGGAGAAGTGGACAGCCTCTACACGCTGGTGGACACGTAGGGAGAGAGAAGGCATTGAACTGGAAGAGAAAGATGGGACATTGGGGCTAGAGCGGACCAGGAAAAACAATAAGTATTTAGTATTGGGGTTTTTTCAGCCTTTTAAAATGTGTGGTTTTTTTTTAATCTAGTGACTATTGGTCTTTAATGGTTTTCTAACAGATAAGTATGACACGTGATTTTAGGTCATGGTATATTTTATTTGACAAAAATAAAGTGAAAGTGGGCACAGGAACATTGTATGACTTAGTCAAAGAAGAAAGATTTCTTGATTGAATCCAATAATTGCCAACTTTTAAAGCACATTAGAAGGCTATAAACTTGTCTTGCGATCATATTTTGTTACATAAAATTAGCAAAATGTTACATGCAACAGTGTTTATTAGTATCTGTATCAAGTGTGTATGCTATTCTTTTCACGTTCTCTTCCTTACAGGGTTTCAGACAAAGTCAAAAAGAAGGAAGGTGCTCACATTCCAGTTAAGGAGTGAGTGTGCTGTCTGTCGTTAGCCAGTGGATCTTGCTTTTGTATAAACCTTATGGTTTGGGAAAAACAGTGATTCTGAACATTAAAAAAACTGAAATGTTAAAAAGTTGAATTGTTAATGTAAAGCAATATAAAGACATTTTGATTCCAGAACTATTAGATAAAAGGTTGATCTACATTTGTGTTAGAGTTCTTCTGGTGTCATAGTATTGTCTCAGCAGATATTTACTGGTTGGTTATGTGGAAACACATACTTTTACAGTAAGGAGATCCTTAGGTTCTGATGACACATGACATGTGTTTTAATTTGTAACGCAGTGTGACCTGTGCATACTGTGCTGCACACTGTATGACCTGTGAAGTGTTCTGGTCAAGAAAGTGTAACTCGAATTTAGCTCTTTAGATCTAATTTGCTATTTGCAGGAAATACAGGGGCTAGAGCAACAACTTAAATGATACCACTAACGAAACAAAGTAAGCAGACATATCCAGACTATGGAATGTGGTAGAAGATAACTGGCCTCATTTCTTCAAAATATCGGTGTTGGGGAAGAAGCAGGGAGGTGGAGGCGCAATGGGTCGCGATGCTAGATTGAAAGTTATGTTAAGAGAAGAACAGCCAAATGCCGTGTGGAACCTTTGATTGGACCCTGGTTGGAAAAGCCATTTGTAAAAGACGTGGTGGGGTGGGGCTGAGAAAATTGAATGTGGACTAGATTTTGAATGATGTTAGATAAGTAGTGCTAATTTTGTGAGTTCTGCAAAGGGTGTTGTCGTTTATAAGAGAATGTCTTAATTTGCATACCGAAGTATTTAGGAATGAAGTGTCTCTTAAAATGGTTTAGCAGGATATATGTGTGTGAAGCATAGATGGCAAAATGTTCATGAATCTAACTGGTGTATATATGGATGTTTATTGTGCTATTTTTTCTATTTACTGTATGCTTAAAAGTATATAATAAAATATTTAATATTTTCATAAAATTAGCTGTGTGTCTGTCATTGTATTCTTTTTTGCATATGATTTTTCACTTTTCTGGCCACATTCTGTGTTTTGATGTAGATGCCATCATAGCATGTTGTGTGTGTGTTTGTGTAGCCTACTTACCATCACATTTTTCATGTTCTCACATATTCTTTCTGTCAGTTGTTTGCCTGTACGGGATGCCTCTCTTCCTTTAGTGTAGTTTTTGCCATTCTGGATAACATTACAGTGAATACTTTCATGTATGTAATTTGATTCTTTTTTTTTTTTTTTTTGAGTTAGAGTCTCACTCTAACGCCCAGGCTGGAGTGCACTGGCACGCTCACGGTCACTGCCGCTCTACCTCCTGGGCTTGGGCGATCCTTCTGCCTCAGCCTTCCTGGTAGCTGGAACTACAGGCGAATGTCACCACGTCTGGCTAATTTTTGTGACTTATTGTAGAGATGAGGTCTCACCAAGTTACCCAGGCTGGTCTCCAACCCCAGGCTCAGGCAATCCTCTTACCTCGGCCTCCCAAAATGCTGGGATTACAGGCTGAGCCACCATGCCCAGCCTTCTTTTCTACTTTCAGATTTGGAGATATGGTCCTAGGAAGAGGTTTTTCTTTGTTTTGTTTTTTGTTTCTTTTAGGTTTTCAAACAAGGTTTATTAGAGAAGGAAAAGAGGAGCGATAGAGAGACGTGCCAGAACTGGCATGGGTGAGAGAAACCGTGGAAGAGTGTTTTTATTTTTTAAATTTATTTATTTTTGAGTCAGAGTCTCACTGTGTCGCCCAGACTGGAATGCAGTGGCCGCTCCCAGCCACCGCAGCCTCAACCTGCTGGGC